CCCCCCCCAACTGTCCCCTGTGTCCCCATCCTGGTGCCTTGTTGCCAACCAGTCCTGTCCCCTGTCCCCAGGATGGAGGTAGCCGATCCTGCTCCATCCTGGGCTGGCTGAGCACCTCTGTGCCTCAGTTTCCCCATCAGTTGTGGGGCTTTTTGCTCCCCTCCCTGACATGGGGTGGTGGGACACAGAAGATGTAGGGTGACGAGAAGCTGTGGTGACCATCTCATGGGGACAGGGATGTGGCCACCAGCCCCAGGGGACATGAGATGAAGCTGGAGGTGCCCAGGATTTATGCTGGAACATTCCACCTCCCACCTCACCCTGATGGAGAAACATCACAGGCAGAGCTACCTGAAGTCCCCTTTTGTCCCCAGATTTGTCACGCTGTTGTCACCCAGACATGAGGGGGGTCCAGATCCGGCCACCCCACCTCCCTTTGCAGCAGGAGAGGAGGTGGCAGGGAGGGTCCACAGCAGGTTGGCCAACTCATGTCCATCCAGCTCAACTGCGTTTGGTGACCATCTGCCGGTCTCTCTTCTTCTTCTCCATCAACCTGGTGGGGAACAGGGTGGTGGCCTTAAGGACCCTCTTGAAAGGAACCTCCTGAAGGCACGGGGAGGGGACACTCACTTGCGGTTGCGGACTTCTGTGAGCTCCATGAGCCTCTCCTGGGCTGCTCGTAACTCATCGAGGCGCTGCTGGTAGCGGGAGTCGCAGCCGTTGGTGCGCTCATAGCTGGAGACCTGGCTGGAGAGCTCGCTGGCACGATCCCGTAGCTGCTGGATGGATGAGTAGAGGTTCTCCTCATCTTCCTCCTGCTCCAAGACAAGGATATGAGGCTGGTGGGGTGGTCAAGACACCACAGGGTGCTGTTCCCCCTTGTTTAGGGTGGGGAAACTGAGGCACGGGGTTCCCCAAGTCTCCTGGGCCACCTGCCTTGGCGTTGATGATCTCAATGTGGATGAGGAGGGCAGCAAGCTCCAGGTCCTCAGTGTAGCTGTTCTTCAACGGCACTGACCGGTAGCCTGGACACAACACCACAACATGAACTCAACCCCATGGCAAGGTGTGAGCTCAGCCCCATGGCCAGATCCCTGAGAAGGTGATGATGATGATGATGACAGTTGCAGGGGGGTTAGACTAGATGACCTTTAAAGGTCCCTACCAACTGAAACCATTCTATGATTCCATGATGATGATGATGATGGTGCAGATGAAGGGACCATACCTGTTTTGAGGCCCTTGACAGGGAAGGTGGCTTGTGCCAAGAAGTTGGGGTCACTGAACATGTCCTCCTCGTACACTACGAAGCGGAGGAAGGCAAACTCGGGGTTGTTGATGTCAAAGATGAACTGCTTGAAGAGCCACACGGGGTTGAAGCCATTGTCAGCTGGAGGACAAGAAGAGAGTGGGGAGGGTCAGAGCAGGGCTGGACATATGGACATCACCAACATGGCACCAGCACATTAGTGGGAATCCTCTTCACTCCTCCATGAAACCCAGCCCCACCACCCACATACCCAAGAGGACCCCAAGGGGCACAGTTAGGGGTGTCCCAGCATCTCCACCAGTCCACAGGGCACAGGAGCTGGGTGGGAACAGAACCCACATGGACTCTCACCTACGACATCTGTCTTGTTCTTGCTGTTGTCGTACTCGGAGCCGCACACCTCCACCTCCACGAAGGGGCATACGATGCTCCTCCCATTCTTGGGTAGGTGCCGGGCACCAAGGATCTGCAGGAGGAAGAAGAGGGTGAGATCTGCCTATGTTAGATGAGGAAGGACTCTCCAGGACAACCCCATGGCTTGGCTGTTTTAGAATCATAGAAGGGTTTGGGTTGGAAGGGACATTTCAAGGTCATCTAGTCCATCCCCCTTGCAGTGAGCAGGGACATCTTCAAGTAGATCAGGTTGCTCAAAGCCTCAACCAACTTGGCCTTGAATGTCTCCAGGGATAGAGCTTCTACCACCTTTCTGAGCAACCTATTCCTGTGTTTCACCACCTTCATTGTAAAAAATTTGGGGTGTTTTGGGTTTTCCAAAAAGTTCATGGCCATAATGAGTCACACCACACCTTCTTCATGACCTTGGACAGGTTTTAGTTGGATTTTAGATGTATCCAACCAATTATTTAAAAAAACCCTTGCTGGATTCATGCCATGGTCAAGAGTCAGGTGCCTACAAACCAACTTGTCCCAGCTCCAATACTGAAATCACCCAAGGGCTGGGTAAGGTGCTTCTGGGCTTGTTTTAGCTCCACCTTGTTCAGGTTGGGCTCAGCTCTATGCAATTTTGGGGTTCTCCTCTGGGAAAAATGATGCCACAAGTGGAGAAAGACCCACAAACTGATGAGAAGGTGGGGTAATGATCTCCATGGAGTAAATATGGGGTTGAAACATGTAAAAAAACCACCCCTAGTTGACCCAAAATAGAGGAAGAAGCAAGCCTCCATCTTGATGGTGACCACCTCAGGGTGGAATTGTTGTCCTCGCCCACTTGCCTGCAGCTGCACCGTGATGGGCTCCACAACCTTCAGGCTGTTCTTGTCGAAGGGGTCGAATGTCTCATCCCTCATGATGTCAGGCTGTAGGACGTAGCCGCTGCGTCCACCAAGCATGAAGAGGGCCTGGTTCAGCTGCATTGGCTTGTCTGTGGTCATGGGGACAGAGCAACTTTGAGCTGTGGAGCTCAAGAGACTCCCTGAGGTCCCTGGGCAGCAGGTCCTGCCCTGGCAAACCCCTTGATAAGAGCCCCCAACCCTGGTTGGAGAAGGAATACAGCTGGGTTCTGCATGAAGCACCCAAGAATTGCATGGAGATGTCCCCATTAGGATGAGGATAAAGGTTGGAGAGATCATCCAAACCACCTCCAGCAACACAACCCAGGGTAGAAGCAACCAGGGATGGAGATTTTGGTGTGACCTGTGGGGATGAGCCCAGCAGCCACCCCAGGAACAGGATTTACCAGGTGTCTGGAAGTTGAGGGCCACGAGCTGGCTACCACAGATCCACATGGGCAACGGGTCATAGTTGGAAGAGTCCAGACGTTGCCCTTTGGGGTAGATGCGGCTGAGCTGGCGTCGGTTGTACTGCAGGAACTTCTTGCCCTTGCTGCGGTTGGCGTACTTCTCTGCCTTGGTCTCCGGGAAGGAGGACATGTCCCTGTAGCACGCCTTGTCCGTGCCAATCTCTGAAAGCAGCAAGGTGGCCATCAGTGAAGGACATGGGGCTCTCTGGTGGCCTGGAAATGGTCTACTATAGACTTCTTGGTTTCCCCCCACCCATCTCTTCCCATGATCATCCCATCATCCCCCTTCTGTGGCTCTTACTGTCTTCATCGAACGGCACCGGGCGGCAATACACAACCAACTCCGAGAGCTCCAGCGCGATCTTCTTCCTCCTCTCCATGATCTTCCCCTCTTGCATCTGCACAAGGGAAAACAAGAGCTGAAAGTGTCCCTCCAATCTCCTCCTTTGGAGAAGTTGGGGACCATTTGCTGGGAGATGGGACCATCCACTCCCATCCTCTCCAACCCAATGCCCCTCACCCTAGCGTCGGCGTTCTGCGTGGCCTCTCGAATCTTGGCCACCCACTCGCTGAGTTCTTCCTGAGTGTCTGCGGCCACATCCAGCGACTGGGCTGCGTGGGACATCTGCTGGGAATGGATGGTGAAGACAAATGGTTTGGAGCTCCTCCCGTCTTTGGAGATAACTATAAGGACATCAGAGGGGGGCTTTACTTGAAGACATTCCCAACGGATGGTTCTGTGGAGCAAACGAAACCTCAGCGGTCCCACTCCCAGGCCCCCACCAGCCCCACATTGGTACCCCACCAACCATTGAGGTCCTCCTCCTGTGAGGGTCTCATTTTTTCTCCAAATTAATCTGAATCCCCTCAAAATTAACCAAATCCCCCATGGCAGGGACATGGTGGGGACACTCACCGACGTGGCAGGATGGAACATCAATGAAGCCTTTCAAGAAGTTCCCCAGGGGACTGTTTTCCGATGACTGAAAGAGAGGAAGGAAGAGAGGGTGGTGAGGGGTGGCTGCACGAGGACAAGCCCAGTGTCCACTTCTTTTGGGAGCTTCCCTCCAGCCCTTTGAGCAAAAGCAGGAAAAAAACCTCTTCTTGGAATGTTCTGCTCCATGGTTGAGCATCTCCCAACCTCTGGATAAGGATCTGGGCTGGAGCAGGATCATAGAATCATGGAATGGTTTGGGTTGGAAGGGACCTTAAAGATCATCCAGTTCCAACCCCCCTGCCATCAGCAGGGACACCTTCCACTAGACCAGGTTGCTCAAAGCCTCATCCAACCTGGCCTTCAACACTTCCAAGGGAGGAGCAGCCACAACTTCTCTGGCCAACCTGGATCATGAGCATCCCCCCAGCCTCTGGACAAGGGTCTTGGGCTGGCACAAAGCTGGAAGCATCTCAGGTAGCCTTGGTCCTGGGTGTACAGGGTCAGGACACTCACAGCCTCATCCTGCTCCTGTGCTTGCGCGTTGACGATCTCCTCCACGTAGTTGGCTGGGAACCACAGTTGCTTCTTGCCCCCGTAGTCCCCCCGCCACCTGCAAGGGGTGAGAGGATCAAGGCAAGTGGACCAGTTTGGGGGGGAAAAGGGGTGGTCATGCTGCATGCAGTGTTGGGGAGCAGTTGGAGAAGGGGTAGGGGGACAGAAAAGGAAGCAATTAAAACCCACCGCAGGAAGACTCATGGGAAGACCCAGGGTGACCCTCTCCATCCCCCACCCATGGTGATGTCCACCTAGGGACCACCCAACCACCCTCACCAGCCGCCATCCTGCTTGTCGACGTTGTGGATGATGGCCTGCTTGCAGAATGACAGCTCATCCTCCCGCTGTGCTTTGTAGTCGTAGAGAGCCTTCACCGTGCACTGGGCCACCAGGGAGAGGGACATATGTCACCACCCAGCACTGGAGATGTGGGTGAGCAGCGCTCCTTGCTCAGCCCAGCTCTTCAAACCCCAATGGTGGAGCAGAAGAGCTCCTGAGGGTCCAAGACCTCAAATGATGCCCCCCAAATTGCCTAAGCCAGCAGTGAAACATGTTGGTGAGGACAGGAGGACTGGAGGGATTGGTGTAGGACCACCATGTTCAGCACAAAGTGAGTTCCTCTTCTGGGTCCCCCAATGGTTTCTCCTGGTGTGCTGAAGGGGTTAATCCCCTGATATTCCTACACCTTCTTGGGAAACAACTCTTTGGGTCAAGTTTTCCTGTGTCTGGTCTTAGCCTGAGAGCTGCTGTGCTGCAAAAGGACCTTTAAGGCACAGCAGTGTTGGACCATGAGACTGTAGGATCACAGAGGAGGAACCTTGGGGCTTCAGCCTCCTCCAGTGTCAGATCTGAGACCAGCCTTGTCCCAAAAACCTCAGCAGATGGAGACTGGGTCAGCTGCAATTCCAACCCTGTCCTGAAAACCTCTGAGGATGGAAACTTGGCCAGCTCTGAGATCATCCAAGTCCTTAAAACCTCCGAGGGTGGAGACTCCACCACCTAGGACCTCACCCTAAGCCTCCTCTTCTAGGGTTCCCCAATGTAAAGTGACCTATGGAGTTTTCCTCACTGTTGGGGTAAACTTGTGTCAGGTCCTTGCTCTAGGCTGAGCTCTCTCCAGACCTCACCCACCACACCATTACAATGCTGTTGGTGGAACTTGGACTGTCCCCAAGTGATGGGGAGGTGGGAAAGGTCCCATCAGCTCCAGTATCACTTGAGGGTCAGAAAAATATAGCAAAACATCACCACTTCTCAGATTGATGGTGGGAGAGATGGTAGGTGTATGGGATGATCACCCAGGAGCCCCAGCACTACAATCATCATGTCCATCACCCTCCACCTCCCAGGGACACCAGCTCAGCCCCTTACCCTGGCCATTGGCATCTTGTTGGCCTCCACGTAGAAGTGTGGGGTCCGCACCTCATAGAGGGCTCCATAGTCCAGCTCCTGCAAAGAGAGACACCTGAATGGGTCACCTGGATACAGGCAGGAGCTACAAGGGGATGTGGTGGCATCTGGGCCACCACGTGAGGAGGTTGAGAGGGACCTAATACTCCTTTGCAACTTGTTGGAAGGGAATTCTGGTGAAGCTACAACCGTGAGCAATGGCTGCATAATAAGCTTTATTGCTTCTGGTTGGGCTTCAACCAAGAGGCTGGAGGAGATCTTCCTACCATGATGGAGCTGGGGATGGGGCTTGGTTGCCTGTGTTGCTTGATTTCCCCGTCCCCACCATCCCCACCACTTAGAACACTCACAGTAGTGCCCATCTTCTCCAGGGTCTCCTCGTTGATGGGGTAGCGCAGCTTCATCTTGCGGTAGAGTGGGTGCTTCTCATAGTAGTTGACAAGGTCCACGAGGCTCTCAAACTCAGCCGAGCTGCCCAGCATGAAGAGCCGACCTTCCTGCTGGATGCGGCAGTGCTTGATCTTCCCCTCCGCCCTGGGGTCAAGAGAGATGAGGGGGGAGCCATGAAGCTGGTCCATGGCTCCATGATGGGATGGGCAGGAGGTGACACTCTGCCTCAGTGCTAGATCACTGTAGGATGACACTGGGTTGACCATCCTGAGGACATGGCTTTCCAGCCACCACAGCCTCTCCATGACAGCATCATGTGTCCCATCGTGTCACCCTGCTGACCTAGAGCAAACCCATGCCACCCACCATGGAATCACAATAGACATGAACCTTGAAGTTCTCACTGTGGCCAAGATTGGGGTGGCCTTGGGGTGCCGGGGTGGCCACACTCACCGGAAGGAGATGGCATAGGAGTTGGGTTCACTCCTCTTGCGCACCAGGAAGGCTCCATCTCGTGGGACCCTCATCAGCATGTGCTCAGCCTGCAAACGAGTCAAGCTGGCGTGATACCACCTGGCCGGGCAGAGAACAGAGGTGGTGGGTTAGTCCTGGCATCCCCACATTCTGAGGGGCAACCAAGACCTGACACCAAGGATGGAGGAGGTTGGTGGATCCAAAGGACCAAAGGGATGGGGATTGTCCTCACTCACTCTTTGCTCTCATGGGCATTGGGTTGGGGGACGGGGTCGGTGAGGCGCATCTCAAACTCATTGCAGCGGAGGGGCACCTCGCGGTAGTGGCAGATGAGTCTGTAGAGGCTGTCAAAGACCAGGTTGTCTGTCAGGTAGAACTTGGTGGCACCGGCTTCCTGCCGTGAATGGATCCGGCAGTGTTGCACCCGGCTGGATCTCCTGCCATGGTGGTGGGGAGAAGGTAGGAGTGAGTCAATTCAGGTCCACATTCCCACCATCCCCTGTTCGGGCATCCAAAAAAGTGATGTTTCCCCCCCAAAATGCCATTCCAACCACCAAACTGGGGATCAGCTGGAATCACAGAATCACAGAATGTTGGGGA